GGGGATTCCCAGAGTACGGGGGCAGTGCCGAGAAATGCCCCGCCCCCTCCACCTTCCTGAGACTCCGACCGAGAAACTGAGTCACAGACAGACGCTTTCGCCCGTGACCTTAGCAGGAAGAGATCCTCCGCAGACCCCCACCACGCTCCAGCGAAACACGCACCCCAAGCCCCCAGAACCCGGCCCGTATCCCCTGAGGCCAGCCCCGGAGCCTTCGCAGCTCCTGGCCAGTCCTACCTCTCTTCTTGGCGCTCATGATATCCAGAAGAGACCCCCAACCCCCGCGCTTGTCCCCCGTGTCCCCGCCGACCCAGGGCCACTCAGTGCTGGGCTCCGCGCTCGCTCCCAGCGACTCTGGCTCGGTCTTCAGCTCCTCCCGGCGCCGCCCCCCGCCCAGTTCCTGCTGCCTGACTCAGCCCGCCGGGATGGGGCGGGACCGGCCCGACCAGGGGGGCACCGGGGCCTCTGCCCGCCCGGCTTCTGGGAGGGGTGCCTGGGGGTTCCCTTCGGGCGGGGTACTGACAGGGATCTTCTCGGCTGGGTCAGGGGTGTGGGTAAAGGGAGTTGAAAACGGCGGTGAATATGGAGGGATAAAGAGTGAGGACACTGACTGGGGGCTGAACTAGGTGCAGGTAGCATGAGGGTGCTCACAGAGCGGCTGTTGAGGGGTGCAGAGAGATGGGTGAACACAGAGGGCTGAGAATGTGGGCTCTGGGCGTGTGAAGGCTAGAAAGTGGGGGCTGAGAAAGTGGGGGCTGAGAAAGTGGAAGGAGGAGCTGTGCCAAAGGACGACAGAGTCAGGCACTGAGCATGAGAGCTCTAGGACACTGAGAAAAAGAGGGGCTAAAAGCAGAGGACTGGATCAACCCCATATGATGCATTGCTGCCCCCAGAAGGAAGAGAAGGAATTGGGTCCAGAACGCCCCACAGTTCCACGCACCACCCCCATCCCTCCACCCACAGAGGGGGTGCTCAGTCTGGGCACTCTTCCCACCCCCAGGCCACAGGGAAGAGGATCAGGTCCCATTACCCAGCCAGCATCTTCTCTCTAGCAGAAGCTGCATCCTAGGGCAGAGGCTCCATCCTTCTGGCGCCCAGCCCACATGGGCTGAATCCCCTTAGTGCTGACTCTTTGCAACTCTCTTCATTGAATATCCCTCTAGCTTGGATAGACGTCACCATGCCCAGGATCTACTGGGCATCCCATCCCCTCAAAGGGACTGAGTGCTCCCCCATCCCATAAACAGTCCTGCTCCTTGATGCTCAATTCTGCTGCACTGGGTTACCTTCTCCCCAAGAGGCTGGGGTGGGCCCAGAGGTCTGCATTTCCAACAAGCCCACCACCCCACTACAGATTCAGATGCAAGATGTCCAAGGATCCTCGTTTAAGAAATGCTGTCTTCCCCTTTCTTCTTGAAGACTGTGTGCTGTGCACCCTACACAGGCAACTGGGCATTCCCATGAATTGCCCACCCAACATTGGCCTCTCTGTTTCCTGCAGCCACTCTCTGCAGGAACACCCCAGCCTTATCACCTGGCTCTGGAATGCCCCTTTCCTAAATCACGACCACACTGAACACAGCCTTCAGGCTCTCTCCATCACCCTCATTTCACCTGCCTTCTACATGAGACCTCTTGAGTCCTCAGCTCATTTATTCAACTAGTCACTAAGTGACAACTCTGTGCCAGTCATTGGAGATACAGCTGGAATTGCACAGATATCGCCCTGCACAGCGCTCACAATCCGCCTCTGCTTCCTTTCTCTCTGCCAGTTCCCTCCTACCTTCTCTTCCCTGCATTCCCTGCACACCCTTCTCCCTAGCCTGGATCCACAGCCACCACTCCAGGATTGCTAACCTGCTGCTACTATCCCCAGCACCCTGGGCTTCTCTTTTACCTGGAGGAAATCAATCCTGGGCAACCCAATCCCCTGCCTTCTCTGTACCTGCACACAGGCTGGTGGGAGCTGCCAGAGGACTTGGCACAGCAGCTCAGCTGGAAAAGAGCAAATCTCAACCTCAACCAGGCTCTCCTTTTTCACACGGGAAATCCTCATGTGTAGCCCTAGCTATCTCTCTCCCTTCTCATGAAAGATGGGTGCTTCCGACTTTCACCACAAGCCTCAGACAAGTGCAAGTCACTCCCACATAAAAAATGAAAACTGGTAGAGTGTGTGCTTAGCATGCATGAGGTCCTGGGCTCAATCCCCAGTACCTCCATTTAAATAAATAAACTAATAAATAAGTAAACCTAATTACCTCCCCCCAAAATAAAAATAAAATAAATAAACATTTTAAAAAATAAAAACAATCCTGGAAACTATCAAAATGCCCATCAGTAGATAATGAACTGCTATACAATGAAAAGAATGAGCAATATACAATTACATGCAACTGTTATGGATGAATCCTATAGACATAATGTTGAGTGAAAGAAGCAAGACCACATGAGAAGATATACATATGATTCCCTTGATATGAAGTTCAAAAACAGGTAAAACAAATTTACAGTGATAGAAGTCAGAATAGTAGTGACACTACCCTTGAGGAGTAGTGACTGGAAGGGGGCACAAGGGGGCTTCCAGAGTACCGATAACGCTTTATTTCCTAATCTGGGTTCTATTTCCTGATCCTACATGGGTGTGTTCCATTGTGAAAATCTATTCAGCTTACACTTAGGACATGTACCCCTTCTGTGTGAATATTATATTTCAATGTAAAATTAACTTTAAATAAGTAACTACAAAAAGAAACGACTCCTCTGTGAACCCCCAGTCTCTTTATAGCTACCCCAACCCTCATGCTATTTGGCCAAGTTCTTTGAAGAGATGTCTACCTCCATTTCCTCTCCACCTCCACCCACTCTTCTTCCTATCCTGGTCCGCCTTCCGTACCCAGCACTTCCCTGACTGGTCTGGACATGGTCACCAGTGACCTTCCCGTTGCTGAATCCAGTGTCCAATGTTTAGTCCTTATCCTGCTTGATCCCAGCAAAGCTTTTCACTGTGTAGTTCTCTTCCTCTTCTTTGACCCTTTCCTTCTCTTAAATTTCAAGAGGCAACATGCCCCTGGCTTTCCACCTCTCTCTCTGGCTGCACATCTCATTTTCCCACAGAGGGTATTTCTCCCCATCCCCGAATGGGCCTCATCCTCCCCGCTTGTGGGCTGGGTACGTCTCCCACAGCTCAATGCCATCTAAATGTTGCCAGCTTCCTTATCTCTTCCTTGTCCAAACTGTTCTTCTGAGCACCAGGCCTATTTATCCAACAGCCTGCTTGATACCGCCCCAGAAGCTGAGTGACAGTTTGGAGTGGGCTGTTAGGGATGTGCTGGGTTTGAAGTCCCCAGACTAAATTCACCACTTTCCTCCTCAAACCTGACTCTCCCTAGTCTTAGCCTCTCCATGACAGCCCCACCATCTATTTACCCAGTTATTCAATCCAGAAACTGGAAATCATCCTGGGTCCCTCAGTCTGTTCCCCCCACAACTATCCAGCCACATACTCCTGCCATCTCTGGAATCTTCCCCCCTCCTTTCCACCCCCATAACTAGAATTCAAGTCCAAGCCATCACCAATTCTAACCTAGAGCCCTACAGCAGCTTCCTATTGGGTTCCCTGTCTCCATGCCAACCCACAATGATCTATTCTTTATTCAATAACAACATTACTCTTGAAATTCCAGTTACCTGACAATGCCAAAAATTGTCCTTTATTGAGTGCTTTCTATGCCAGGCACTGTGCTTAATTAACAAACATCATCTCTAATTCTAGCAACAACCCTATGGGTTAAGTCCTATTAGCCTCACTTCACAAATGAGAACCTGAGCCTAACTGCCTGAATGACTTTGAACAGGACATTTTGTAACCTTCTTGGTCTGTAGCTATCCATCTGTTAAGTGAGGATAACAATAATAACAACAACAACTATCTCTTGGAGCTGTTGGGAGGGTGAAATGAGATACTTCCCTCCATAGGGACTGTTTGGGGAAGGAAGAATTGTATGTTGGGTAGGGAAGTTAGAATAGACATAGTACCTCATTGTAAGCACACAACAAACATTAGCTGCTGTTATTAATAATTATTAACAAGCCCAAGATTACACAGCTGGTAAGTGGCAGGGCCAGGATTCAAACCCAGGCGTTCCAACCCCAGGACTCTAACTCTTTTAACATTCCTCTACTTTAACTCTTGTGAAACATCCATGGGTATTCCCCTGCCCCAAGGATAAAGTCCAGACCCTCTAACATGACCTGCAAGACCTTGAGGCTCTGTCTGTTCCCTCATATACCTTCAACCACTCCTCCCCTTGTAGTCCTCGGCTCCCCCCACGGTCGTCCTGTTCCAGCTACTATGAATTCTCTCAATACCTGCCAGGCTCTTCAGCATTTAAGCAGCAGCCCCCTTGCTCCTATACCCTCTTCCCATTACTCTCAGCCTGACCAGCCCCTCTCTCTTTTCAAGTCTTACCCTATAACTTCTTCCTCCAGGAAACCTGCTTTTAGGTGCCTCACCTGGTAGCTTCCTCTCTCTGATACCTGAGGCCATATAACTCAGTTGTCAGTTCTCCTTTAAGGTCGGTCTTCCAACGACAGTAAGCTCTGGGGGCTGAGGCCTGTCTGCTTTTGCTCACTGCTGTACTCTCTGCACCCTGCACTAAAGCAATGGAGAGCAGGAGCTGAGTATGAGTGGGGAGCAGAGTGAACTAGGCTGCCCTTACACAGGTCGATCCTGAGCTGTTGGAGGAGAAGATTTCAAGTCTGTGTCCACCCTAATTCCCCTAACTCACATATAATTTTCCCTTTCCCTTCCTTACTATCTGAATATATCAGCAAGTGAGGTTCTGCTCCCTGGGGAAGGGGCAGAGTTGGGGTTCCCTGGTATTTTAGAACTGAGGGGGTGGGCTGGACTCAACGTAGACTGACTGTTCCATCAATTTTCTTTCTCTGACTGAGGTTCTGCCACAGGGATCAGGCTATATAACTGTTGGTCCAAATGACCATCAGAATATTCATCTGAGTGACAATTTCATGGGGTGGACAGGCCGGATCTCCCCTGCTGGTGGTGGGGGAAGGGAAAGAGATGAACCCCTTGAGCTAAGGGAGTGGGTCCACCTCATCTGGAAGGGGGCGGCTAGCTTATAAGAGGCGGGGGACTCTCTGGACTCATGCCAGCCCTTAAGTCTGTTCCCGGCATGGGAAAGAACCCAGGTCTCAAGGGAGATGGGGTCTGCAGCATAGCCAGCTCGCGGCAGCTGGGAATGGTAGTCTGGTTGCCTGCATGGCCCCAGATCCCATGGGGATCCCTCTACTCGCCAAATACCCTCTATTCGCCAAAACTGGTGCACTTGTGTGGGACAGGAGGTCCTGCCACCTGTGCTGCCCAGCTCAGTGGTATGCCACGCCAGCCGCTTTCCCGGGAGTCCCTGGTCCAGCCCCGCCCTACCGCCCCGCGCCGCCCCGCGCCGCCCAGGACCGAGGTAAACAGATGCTAAAAATAACCCGGGCAAGGGGAGGCAGCAAGGGAGAATGGGGTCCCTCCTGAGCCTGCCCCTGTCTCCATGGCAACTGCCCCAACCCGGCTGTTGACGTCATGCCGCAGCTGCCGAAGCGGGGCGGGGGGGGGCGGTGCTGCCTGGGACCCCCACCCCGGAACCGGGTGGAGGCAGTCGGGTGGCCTCACTTCCTCACTTCCTGCCGGCCCCCTCCCTGGTCAGCTGGTCACATTCCCGGGACGGCCGCGCACTGTAAGCCTTGTGGCCTCCTCCGGGCTGGGCCTGGCAGAGGCGCTGGTCGGAGCTGCAGCGAGGGGCCGCAGTGACTCAGCCGCGTCTTCCCAGCCTGCTTTTCCACCTGGGAGTACCCAGCCCGGCGCCCTGTGTTCTCCCCTCACCCCTACCCATTTCCAGGCCCCCCTCTCCAGCTTTCCCACATGACCCAGGAGGGAAGGTTGAAACCGATGCTAAGCCAGGCCTCCTTGTCCCCCTGGACTGTTTTGTATTTTACTCTCTAATTCTCATCCCTCTACCCACTTACAGCCGCCACCGCGGAAGCAAATAGTGTAGTGGCAAGAATTCAGATTTGGGTCTAATTCCCACCTCTTCCAAACCAGCTGTGTGACCTTCAGAATGTTACTTGACCTCTCTGGGCCCATTTCTGCATCTGCCAGATTGTCGTAACCCTCCTCAGAAGGCTGCACCTGCATTGAACGCTGCAGACCCAGGGCGAAGCCCCACAGATGGCCACCAAAGCACCGTCATTGTTATATGAGACTGCACATAGTAGGAGCTCGGCCAGCCAGCCTGGACACACATTAGAAGGAACTCAGTAAAACAGATTGACAAGGGTCAGTTTCGGAGGCTGGATTCAGGCCTCTAGGGGAAAGGAAGACAGAGGGTGCTGAAGCCAGACTTACCCAGACCCCTAGCCCTGGTGAGCAGCCCCTTCCCCAAACCGGTTCTGCACGGTGTCCAGGCCTGGCTGCTTGCAGACTCCCCACACTAGCCTCCCATTTCCAGGTTCAGGGTCCGTTCCCCGACTGCGCCCGGTATGATACTCTCCAGCTTCGGCCCCGCCAGGTTTAGGCAAAGAGCTCAGCTCCTGGCTGGTCTAGGCCACCTCGGGTCGGGCCCCAAAGCGGCTTAGGCCAGCCGATGGGGCCAGGAGGATTAGCTCATCTCGGAGGCCGGCCTGCACCCCTCGTCGTCCTCTCCTCATTCCCACCTCAGTCTCTCCCGCGGCGAGAGCACAGGGGCTCCGGGAGAGCGTCCGTTTCAAGGCCGGCCTGGCTCACCCCAGAGCCATAGGGCACGGGACGCCTGGGCCTTGCCTTGGGAGGGAAAGAGGCAGCGCCGGGTGCGGCAGGCCTGGAGGCGGCGGCTTTTGTGGGCGTACTCCGCGCCGGAGAAGAGAGGAACGACAACGCGCGGCCTCATTCCCGGGGATGGGGCGAGATGGGACAGGGCCGCAGCCGGGTCAGCAGATCCGGGACCGACCCGGCGGTGCTGGCGGAGGAAGCACCAGAACCGCCGCGCCCGCTCCCCGCCCGGCCTGCGGCCCCCGGAAAGGTCAGGGACACTCACATGGCTGCGCTGGGCTGCGCGGACCTCGCGG